CACTAATTCAACACTTTTTGACTCTATTTTGTGTTTTAATACATGACTTTCATTACATTTTACTCATGGGCATCCATTACTGGTATTTGTTCTGCCTACAAGTGTGTGCTCATTCTCAACTATGATTCTCCTCTTATGTACTTATATTGTGATGTCATCACATGATCGGGTTTGCATTTTCCATAGCCACAACATTTCAGAAGAATTGTTTATCTAAAATAGACCATTGGTATTAGATACTGAAGAGTATTTTGGAAAACTCTCAAAAGGTTTAATTTGGAAGGGAAACACATATGACGCAAATGCACTATTATATATCTTAAAATGTGAATTTTTGATAGCCTCAACATTGAATCACTTTTGTTTGTTCAAATAGATGATTGACATTGATACTGACGAGTGCCTTTGAGTATTACGGTAATCTCTCAAAGGTTTCGATTTGGAAAGGAATTCATAGACAATTCGATCAATTGCCGAATGTTTGAATAGCACATTTTGTTCCAAATGACATCACTTTAATTACAACTAACGTGATGTATTGTCTCTGTGTGCTATCTAATACTTATACTCTAATGGGGTTTTAGCTTTTAAGATTTCAATCAATTTGATTGCTGGAATTTTATGCTAATTGGCATGACTCCTTATTGATCATTTTTCCAAGTTTATATCAATAAGTGTCTCATCTAAATCATGATGTCATACTTGGAATTCAGTCAAATGAAAATGAGATTAGAAACTTTACACTAAATGAAAACTCTCATATTCATTTTGAAATACAGTAAGATCTGGCTTATCCAATAGCCATTTGGACTTGTAAAAGTGTTCAGATTGGCAGGTGTTCACTTTTCAAGGTTTTTAACATGAATTGTAAATATATGGAAGATTAAAAAATAGGAAAAAAATAGGAAAACTAGTGACAAATTAAGGGGTGTTCAGAAATTCATGTTGTATTCAATACTGTATATCTGAATTGCGATAGTTAAATATCAATTTGTTATACTTTTAAGGCAATTATTTTATAAGGCAATATTCAATGGAGTAAAAACATGCCATTACTACAATTGAGCAAGCCACAATAGTCCAAGTACAAATATATAACTTACTGCACTCACACGTACACTTATCCTGAGCATGCTATATTTTTATTAAATGTAACTTTTTTTCCTGTATCATAGTAGACTGTAATTCTGATATGTTGATTCTACAATTATATAAATGTTTAATGAAGATGTACATTACCTTTAGAAGTGACACTGATTCTGTCTCTATGTTGTTTACTGATTCCTTCTCCTAATGTGTCCTTTGTTTCTTCGTTGTTCTCTACATCCTGTTATTCTGCATGGTGTTCTTTCCACGTGTTATCCACGAGCCTGTCAGTCATGTTTTAAATGTTTCTTTGTGGTCCTGACTTATTGTCTGATTTCTTGGATTGTGGCGTTTTTCTTATATCTGTGGCATTTTCTTTTTTTGCCTGATTTCTTTGATCTGTGCCATTATCCTTCCTTTTGCCTGATTTCTTAAATTTGTGGCTCAGAGTCGTCCTTTACTCAATTTTGGTTTTATCTGAACTTCATTCCTTGCTTTTTTCACTCTTTCATAATTCTCTTTTACATTTTAAAACCTGACAATCAGGATCAATGTTTTGATTTTAATTTATTCATTTGGATTCAGGATATTTGACAGATTTCAGGATATTTGACATATTTCAAGTAACAGCTCTAGTTTGTCCTTAGATATCAGTATTCATGAAAACAAATAAAAAAAATTTAAAATTGTAGGATTTTGATAAAAAACAAAGCATCACTTATTCATATTTCAAAGACCTAACGTCTAAAATTGACTTTTTGAAATACCTATAGTTTTTCCTTTGCTTGACATAAGTTTTTAAATGTCAACTGGCAAATGTCCATTTTAGTCATTGTTATTCTTAAAATTATTTAATGAAACATGAAAACCCATTTGAATACATTCTATTTGTGCAGTTGACTATGTTTTATAATTGATCCCTAAGGTTTTCATGTTATAAATTACAGTTTTTTGTGCTCAGCAACTGTGACATATGAAGATGATGACATCAAGTTTAAGGAATTTAAAAAGACAGAGAGCGTAAAATTGCCAAGGCAGTCTTAAAGAAATTATACCAATGTTTCCCTTACTCATATTATATTTTCTGAAAAAATAATTGAGATAGATATTTGAGACAAATTATAAATATACATTGAAGATTAAATGAGATAAAACAGTAAAACTTGTTTAATCCAAATGCCACTTGAAACTGCTAAAAGTGTTCAGTTTAGCAGGTGTTTAGATTTAGAAGTTTTTGTAACATGGAAGCATGGCAGATTAAAGAAGTGTTCTTATTCAGTGTTCTCATTCAGTGTTCTCATTCAGAAGTGTTCTGATTAACAGCTTTTACTGCATATATGTAAACAACATTCCAAATAGAAACAAAACTAACTATTAAATGTCTTTATAGCTATAATAAGTAAGTAGTTCTTCAATTAATAGTTCAATTAATAGGGTTTAACAAAATAAATACAGTCTTGTTAATGGCTTGAGTCAGAACATTTATTTTCATTGTTTCATAATGTTATATTTACATTGAATCTGTGCAAATACACTGTTATATTATATTTACATTGAATCTGTGCAAATACACTGTTATATTATATTTACATTGAATCTGTGCAAATACACTGTTAATGCATCTCTTGAAGCAAATAGCATAAATGGGAAAGTGTAAACAACAACAACACAACTTGCTTTTAATTAATCAATACAAACAATTCCTACTGGAGGTCACAATAACTAAAGGATTGGAGTTGGACGAGAGCAGCTTTTTCATACATTTTTAAAAATCTTCCTTAAAAATATAAATAAAAATACAACTTATATTCTTATTTTGCATCAAACATAATACTGTACATCCATACAATTATTGTGGACATGATCGCAAACATTAAATTAATATTTAGATAAAGGTATGTACAGGTGCCAGAGGGAGAAAAATTTAAATCCATTACAAAACAGAATAGAACAAAATAAAAACATCCAATACCACAACTCATCATAAGGACAACAAACCAAAAACATTCGTAACTATGATCTAACTCAATGTCTTTAATAATGTCTCGCCATTCAGGAATCATAATCCAAGATCACAAAACCATGGGACATATTCATGCTGAAGACCATCTAAATACATGTTTTGGAATAGAGATATTCCCAAGCACGAGAGGAAAGATATATTAGAATGTGTATGACAGCTGACAGACACAATAACACATCATTCAGATTCACACGTCACAAATCAATGAAGTTGATGAACAACCATAACAGAGTGTCATCTCAACCCCGCTAAAATAGCTGGAAAAGGAAAGCGTATTAACTGGAAGTGACATCTGATTGGAAACCTGTCAATTCAACATGCAATTGAGAGTTTGCCCAAATCAATACACAATTTGTTCATAGTTATGAGGTCAGATATATACTGTCTTCAAACATATTGTGCAGTTTTTACTGATTTGCTGAACCTAATATTAATACAGTTGATAATCAGGGTCATTGTCTCATCAGAAATATGCAAATCGAATCTGCTTTTGTCATAAATGTATTATATGTACATGTACATGTGAAATGTGTATGATTTGTGCAATAAAGAAAACCCTTAAAATTGATGACTGTCATTTGGAAAAACATTTGTCTGTATTTTTCAATATTGTAGTGATATACTGTTATGGTCTCCAAAAGTATCCTGTGGTTGGTGTTTGGTATCTGTAACAAATGGCAGGCTGTGACATTTTGCATGTTATTGCCTTGTTTGTGGTGTTACATTAGTGGTGTGATGAAGTTTGCTTGCCTCAAATCATATGAACATAATTTTTTCAAGGATAGGAAACTCAAGGTTCAACTTTGACCCCATTAGCTTCTCTCTCCTCAAGGTCAATATCCAGAAACACGCTTATTCCCTCAATACTCAATTTGGCAATGGCATTTTCCTGTCTTCTTGGAAAAGAGAAACAAGAAAGTCCGAGGAGCCTTGGATTCGGAGAATGTTGCCAACCTACTTTGAAGCATTTTTCACAGTAATGCGCGTGGAATCATAACATAATATTGGTGTGCAATAATAACAAATATTGGTCATTGCCCAAGTGCTCTATTTCCTGGTGAATTTCAAGTGTTTGAGGTTGCACCAATTAATGTTAGTCAGAAATCAAGTGTTTTGATTCCAATTAATAATTCTTTAATGCAGAGGGTATCCATTGAACCAAACCAAAGGACAAAATAGAACGTATAGCTAAAAGATACACCAAAGGACTAAACATGATAATTCACTTAAAATGATGAAAGTATCATATGATATCACATAGATACTTCACCTGAGTTGACTGTCTTTCATTCTGTTTTTCTTATAATGAAGTGTTGAAGTCAAACATGTTTTGAAATTTCTCTCCAAATGAGGTTTCAACTTGGGTACTTATCATTCTAATCCAATGAATGGAATGACGTTCTGAGTAATTATCACATCAGAACTACACCTGAGCATTCATTCTGATTTATCTGAGTTCCTCTTCATCTATTATGCTTGTACTCAAAGAGATTATACTGTTGTGGATCCCACGATGACATCAAGGGGATATAGATGAACTCCTCAGTCAATCTGTGCATCCATCTATATTTTGATATGAGACTTCCCTGTATCCCTCTGTCCATCGTTCATTTCAGATAATTAATAGCATAAAATATAAAAACAAATAAGTAAATGATTTGGATGGTTTATGATATTAAAATGTTATAATGGTTTTATAAAGTGACTGCCAATTTTACTTTTGTGAGAATATTTTTACTCTTAATTCCAAAATAACTGTTGGACCAGTCGCACTGTTGGACCAGTCACACTATTGTACCAGTCACACTGTTGTACCAGTCACACTACTGTACCAGTTACATTGTTGTACCAGTCACACTGTTGTACCAGTCACACTGTTGGACCAGTCACAATGTTGGACCAGTCACACTGTTGTACCTGTCACATTGCTGTACCAGTGCTGTACCAGTCACACTGTTGTACCAGTCACACTGTTGTACCAGTCACACTGTTGTACCAGTCACTCTGTTGTACCAGTCACACTGTTGGACCAGTCACACTGTTGTGCCAGTCACACTGTTGTGCCAGTCACACTGTTGTGCCAGTCACACTGTTGTACCAGTCACACTGTTGTACCAGTCACACTGTTGTACCAGTCACACTGTTGTACCAGTCACTCTGTTGTACCAGTCACACTGTTGGACCAGTAACACTGTTGTGCCAGTCACACTGTTGTGCCAGTCACACTGTTGTGCCAGTCACACTGTTGTGCCAGTCACACTGTTGTGCCAGTCGCACTGTTGTTCCAGTCGCACTGTTGTGCCAGTCACACTGTTGTACCAGTCGCACTGTTGTGCCAGTCACACTGTTGTACCAGTCGCACTGTTGTGCCAGTCACTCTGTTGTACCAGTCACACTGTTGTACCAGTCACACTGTTGTACCAGTCGCACTGTTGTGCCAGTCACTCTGTTGTACCAGTCACACTGTTGTGCCAGTCGCACTGTTGTGCCAGTCACACTGTTGTACCAGTCACACTGTTGGACCAGTCACACTGTTGTACCAGTCACACTGTTGTGCCAGTCACACTGTTGTACCAGTCACACTGTTGTACCAGTCACACTGTTGTACCAGTCACACTGTTGGACCAGTCGCACTGTTGTGCCAGTCGCACTGTTGTGCCAGTCGCACTGTTGTGCCAGTCACACTGTTGTACCAGTCACACTGTTGTACCAGTCACACTGTTGTACCAGTCACACTGTTGTACCTGACTGGTTCATTATCAGTAGCTGCATATACCAAGGGTGTTGTATATGTACAGATCATGTGAATGCAGTTGTATTCTACCGTAACGAACCTGTAAAACAATCTAGTTTTCAAAATGCACGTGACAGAGTGCATTTTTGCAAGCACTGTTACTCGGACTGGTATTCGTAAAATACCAATGTAATAAATGCATCAAATTCATGCTTTGTTTCTCATATAATAGTATGACATGATGATTTAGATTCTGAGTAGCATGTTTCTTGCTTGTATAGATATAGATGGTGTAACTGCAGTTGTATTCTTCTGTATAACAAATCAATCCAGTTTCATAATTGTATTGCTTGTTGCATCTTAAGATATCCCCGTAGCCAGGATTTGCCAAGCAGGGGTTCACTCATTGAAAAATTCCAGGGGGGTTCACTTGTGACAATTTTGGTCCAAAAATGGCCAAAATCAATTAAAAGTGCTCAGAATGGTAAAAAATTGCATGATTTTGAAAGATTTTTTTGACCCATGGCTACGGGCCTGAAGACTATGCATGCACAGAAACCCCTTCAATGAAATAATTTATGGTAAAATCTGTCTCAAGTGAACATTACTAGGACCAGCAGCTTGAAGTGTTCAGATTAACAGATGTGCAATCAATATTGGGACCTTGAAAAAGTGTTCGCATGAGAGGTGTTCAGATTAGAGAGGTCTTCAAATATACAGGTTCTACTGTCCATTGATTCATTTTAATTAATAAGATCCATCCTCTGAGATTGCTATCGAGGTTACATGTGTGTTATAATTAATTCTGTCATTTCTCCTATATTCTGTGCACAGGTACTGGGTTGATAGAAAGATGGCATCATTGCATAAAAGTGTTTGTATTGTTTCACTGAACTATTCTACCTGTCGTCATATCCTTGGGTGATGAATATTATTTGTTTGCTTGTTCCTTATTTGGAATATAACAGTGAATAATAAAACAAGTATTTAATTCTATTTTTGGTGAATTCCATTTGGATTCTTACAAGGTGTATTCCCCTAAACATTTTGTCTCAGTAAATTAAGATTACTATATTACAGTAAAATCTCTGTTAGTGGAACACTCATGGTTCTAAAAAAAGTTTCACTTGGTCATAGAGTTAAAGAACATGATTTTCATCATTTTTATGTTAACATTTTTATTTAATAAACAATACAATACCACCACAAGTTGTTACATATTGTAAATTGATAAAATATTCTATTTTTGTGTGTTTGGCAGTTGGCATTCAGCAGTTGGTGTCTGTAACAAATGGCAGGTTGTGACATTTTGCATGTTGATGCTCATTGTATGTGATTACTGTTTGAAATAAGCAGATAAATAGAAATACAACATTCCTATATGTTCCAGGTGAAGTTGATGCAATTAGACGGTGTTTGACATCTGGATTCTTCAGCAATGCAGCCAGACTGGACTATACCGGTGTATACAGGACAGTTAGGGACAACCATATCCTACATATACACCCCATGTCTGTCCTCTATGTGGAGAAACCACCCCCATGGTATGTTTGATAGTTATGTTATGTTTGCCACACCGATTGATGGATGGATGGATGTTTGTATGTATTGATAGTTATGTAATGTTGTGTTATGTGAGCTGTTCATATAAAAATCTGTTGGGTGAATAAAGTAAAAGCACTAACTAGAATGAGTAATCAATGCTTGGACACAAACCTTCTTTAAGTTTAGAAAAATCTTCACGCATTAAGAAAGAAATCCTCAAGCATTGAGAAAAAAATCCTCAAGCATTAAGAAAAAAATCCTCACGCATTGAGAAAAAAATCCTCAAGCATTAAGAAAAAAATCCTCAAAAATCATCAAGCATTAAGTAAAAAATCCTCAAGCATTTCCAGAATTTAAAAATACTATTTATTAATATTTTAAAGAATTATAAATTCATTGTTTTTGACAGTCTTACAATCATGTACAGATTGCAGGTAGTCTCAAAAATGAAGACACACCAGCGGTCCGAATCACAATGATACGAATCCCATTTGGATTAGTACAATTTAGATTTGGACCATTGGGATTTGGATGAATGGGATTCAGACCATCTGGATTCGGACCAGTAAGGCGACCCCTCAAAAACAATGAATTAAACTGTTTACAAATTTTTAAGGAATTTCATTTTCTCCATGAACAATTTTTCAAGCTTCAATGATTCCAAAAATAGGGTTTGTGTCATAGCTTGTATTCGCGAATGCAACTAACGCCTGTCGGCTACCAGATTAACCTACTATTTTTCTGGAAACTCATATAAATATGAATAGTACCTGCCACTATTCCATTCATATTTAAATGAGTTGGTCATAAAATACTAGGTTAACCCGGTAGCCGGCAGGCGTTAGTTGCATTCACAAATACAAGGTTAGTCTATAGAATGTCTATTAGTTCCATATCATTATAATTAAATATTTTAAGGTTAACTATTTAGATTTACTATTTGTGGCTTGCAGTTCTGTAAAGCCACAGACATATGTAATATGTATAGTTCTATATGTAATATGTATAGTATAGTTATATATATGTATATGTATAGTTCTATACTGTATGGAATTAAATCATTAATAAAAAAAATTACAATAGACCTTTCCAATTAATCATAACCCCTTTTGGTAAACCCAGGAAATTAGGGTTTATTGGCTAGATTTATGATGTCATACTTTACAGTTAGCAATGTTTGAAAACAATTTAGTTAGAAGTTAATCCTATGTCTGCTCTTAAACTGTAAGAATGACATCACGGCGTATAACCCAAACGCTCCTACATGCACGACGGAGCGTTTCATTTACGCGGAAACGCTCCGGAGCGAAATAAAATGGCGGCTAATGAAGATTCCTCTATGACCGTAAGTATTGTTTCTCTCGTTTCTCTTACATTTCATATGTTATGGTGAAATATTATGTACCATTCGATGAACAATACCGTGAACAAAGATCTTATTTATTCAACTTCTGGTGGTAAACTGTTATTTGCTTGATCAAAGCTCCGCAGTGTAGATCGAACGAATCTGAAGATGACGATTTGACCACAAATTACGAATTAAACTAGTATTTCTATGAAAACCTTAATATTTCTCTGAAAGTAGTAGATCAGAAACTCGTATATTCTCATTTCTTAAAATCCCAGTCCAAATCCATTACTTGTTCTCAAGAAATCGCTTGTTTTCCTCGAAACGCTCCGTCGATTTAGAACACAATTTTAGAAACGCTCTTACCATTTTGTTTTGATATCATTTTCAGATTATTAGAGAAGGGTTCCGAATCGAATCTATCTCTCAAAAACGTGTTGTACTTATTAGGCAAATTGAAACATCTGAACCCGGTGGTGCTAAACGTGCAACTAGCTTATTTAAGCCTACATTAGATGATGTCATGCCTACATGTGTGCTAGATCATAAAACTATAGAAAAAAACGAAAATTAATATGTGAATGAATCTTTCTTCTTTTGATGCCAAGGGGTATAATAGATCTTAATTTCTTTCTCTTCCTGAAAAGGAAAGTCAAGCTATATATTTCCTAAACAGATCTAGACTACCGGAGCGTTTCCAGTTCACTGTGTTAACCAGATCGGAGGGTTTCTTGAATATGAGAATGTCATCATTTTTAAGACTGGATTTTCGGTCATCAAATCACTATTACGATAATGTATGGTGCGTTGAAGCATTGGAATTTGACTAAAATATACGTTGGTGCTCTAATCTTGGCTCAACTAATCACATGTAACAACAAAATGGGATTTGACCGGTAGAATGACAAATATGTTTTTGGATTTTGATAACTATACTGCTTCGTACAGCTCTTCCTAATTGCTTCAAACGTCAACAGCCAGCCAAGTACAACATGAATATCACACCCATCGAATGGTATACTCGAAATATGTAACTCATACCTCTTATTCCCATTATTGGGGAAATCGTCAGACGGCTCATCATTCCCGCCAGCAAGTTTTCCTACTCCGGAGCGTTTCTTTGTTTAATTTCAGTAATGAAACGCTCCGACGTGCATGTAGGAGCGTTTGGGTTATACACCGTGGACATGATAACCAAAAGATTGCAGCATTTACTGGATTGGTCTATTAAACCTTTGGTCTGGCTAAATCCTTTGTGACCCCTCCCCCTCCCCCATTACACATCTCCTCTCAAAGTGTTGAAGAGCATTAAGAGAGGAAGGGTCCAGAGACTTGAAGCAAGTCTATTAAACCTTTAATTGTGTTCCAGGGTGATCTATAATGAAGTCGTTCAAACGTCTAAAGAGTTCATGCGAGATGTTACAGTAATAGATCCAGCCTGGTTGTATGAGCTAGCACCCCATTACTACCAATTTGGAACAGTAAGTATTTTTGAAGTTCATATTTGGAAGGCGGGTGTTTGACCAGTTGGCACCTACTTGAAGCTTTGCACCCAGTAAAAGAAATTGAAAGAACTTCAACATTACTTTATTATTTTCCGTTATTTTTGCTGTTATTTTTGCCGTAACTCGAAAAGTAGTGGAGCAATTTTGTTCATATTTGGTATGTGAATACTTTAAGCATGGCACACTGTCTAATGACACTCTTGGTAAAAGGTGGCCATTTTGAAAAATGGCCACCATTTTAACGTATTTTACTATAAGGTTTGAGGTTCCATATCCATCAGCCAAAAGGTATGACCCCTATATAGTCCATTTAAAAACTTGTGGTTTTGTTCTTAATGACACCATAGCTGGCTTCTTGGGTACCAAGTATGCCACTATTTGGTATCAAAATAAAGAGGAGGAGTTCAACTTTCATTTGAATTACGAAAATAGCGATGTAGGTAAAAAATAGTTCCGACGTGATCATGTTTACTACGCGTTTGCCCGTCATCTCAGAATTGAGGAAATGGTAGCAAATGCGAGTTACAATAAATGGATGCTGACTCCCTATAATTTGATGTAGATCAATTGAACCCCTATATGAACAGGTACATTTTAATATATAACACTATGGGGGGTAAGAGTTTTATAGTTGATCACGAACGCCATATGTGCAAAGTATTGTTCTGAATTTTCGAATTTGGTGTTGGATTACGGTACTCATACCATAACTAGAAAAAGTGGTGGAGCAATTTTGTTCATATTTGGTATGTGAATACTATAAGTATGGCACACTGTCTAATGACACTCTTGGTAAAAGGTGGCCATTTTGAAAAATGGCCACCATTTTAACGTATTTTACTATAACTAGAAAAGTAGTGGAGCAATTTTGTTCATATTTGGTATGTGAATACTATAAGCATGGCACTCTTTCTAATGACACTTTTGCTATATACTTTGTTTGTAAATTGCCAGCCATTGCTGTTCGATTGGATTTGCTACGCTCTGGCGTTGCTGTTGTCTAGTTTTCATTTATTACATCATTATTTTTTGCTCTAAGATTTGTGCTTAGGGCACATCATATGAGCATGTGAGACTAGACTACGGTATCTTACCTCAACTTCAAACAGGTCCTAATGGTGTCCCTCTTTGCCTACCTCAACTTCAAACAGGTCCTAATGGTGTCCTTCTTTGCCTACCTCAACTTCAAACAGGTCCTAATGGTGTCCCTCTTTGCCTACCTTAAATTGAAACAGGTCCTAATGGTGTCCCTCTTTGCCTTCCTCAACTTCAAACAGGTCCTAATGGTGTCCCTCTTTGCCTACCTCAACTTCAAACAGGTCCTAATGGTGTCCCTCTTTGCCTACCTCAACTTCAAACAGGTCCTAATGGTGTCCCTCTTTGCCTACCTCAACTTCAAACAGGTCCTAATGGTGTCCTTCTTTGGCTACCTCAACTTCAAACATGTCCTAATGGTGTCCCTCTTTGCCTACCTTAAATTGAAACAGGTCCCAATGGTGTCCCTCTTTGCCTTCCTCAACTTCAAACAGGTCCTAATGGTGTCCCTTTTTGCCTTCCTCAACTTCAAACAGGTCCTAATGGTGTCCCTCTTTGCCTACCTCAACTTCAAACAGGTCCTAATGGTGTCCCTCTTTGCCTACCTCAACTTCAAACAGGTCCTAATGGTGTCCTTCTTTGCCTACCTTAACTTCAAACAGGTCCTAATGGTGTCCCTCTTTGCCAACTCAACTTCAAACAGGTCCTACTGGTGTCCTTCTTTGCCTACCTTAACTTCAAACAGGTCCAAATGGTGTCCTTCTTTGCCTACCTTAACTTGAAACAGGTCCTAATGGTATCCTTCTTTGCCTACCTCAACTTCAAACAGGTCTTATGGTGTCCCTCTTCACCTACCTTAACTTGAAAAAGGTCCTACTGGTGTCCTTCATTGTCTACCTTAACTAACATTACACATTCACTGTATGACAATCTGCCATAAATCATTGTAAGCTAAACATAAAGTTGATAAATCTTTTTTTCAATAATGGTAGATCAATCCAACAGTTTTCCTTCAAAGGTTGAATGTTTTATTATAACCAAGATGAGAGTAGGTAGTTACCAGTTTCATCACCAGGTGGCTGATTCGGGTCTCGTGAACTTGTCTGGTATATTAGAAAGTTCCCTTAAACTTGAATATTCATCAGTTTTAGTGAATCAATTTTAATATTTCCCTTGTAATCTCGTGTCATGTATGTGATAGCTATACAAATGAAAATATGTCAACTAATTATGAAATATCTTATGATTTTAAGAATTACATTTTTATCTAGCTATGAGGTGGTTTTGATTCCTACTCGCATCTAGTCTATTCTTCTCAATTAAGGGATTTGACTGTCTTTTTATTCCTTACTAATTTCACCCTCAACAGTCATTAAATGAAATCAATTTTATGTTTTAAAATGTGTAAAAAGGTTTATTGTTTATTAATGTTTTATGTTTATTAATGGCAGTTTAACATGTGAAGAACAGTGAAAAATTTGCACATGATGATACATGTATGTGGGGGCTCAATACAAAACTGAGTGAAATGTGTCAGTTAAGTTTGATATCTTGGATATTTTAGACACGAAAAATATATTCTTAGCTCTGGAGGAAAAAATGAACTAGGTCCTATGTAGAGTTCTTGGATATTGTTGAAAAGGAAATATATCCTCAGAGCTGGTACAGAGGAAATAAATGACCTTGAGTTGGTTCAAGAAAAATCAATAATCATGAAGTGAAATAAAGCTAAGGGCGCCTTTAAGGGTGAAATGAAAGACCTTAAAGAGATAAAATTTAGTGTCACAAATAACAATACAAATAAGGACTGGGGTTTATTTGTCAGCCAATGGTACTATTTAGTATTTAACCAGTTGTCTGTTAAATAGAAGGGCACTTATATCTTGAATATTGCAGTATTCCATAATCGCAAGGAATAAAAGTAGGGATATAGTGAAGCCATCTGTCCTTCCGTCCGTCAATCAATGTGGCCATCCATCCGCCTGTCCAGAATACATGTAGAATTGAAATACTTGTTGACAGATTACCTTCATATTTGATTGAAAGATGTGTAGGCCTAAAAGTGAATAGTTTTTAAAAAAATTCAAGATGGCCACCACTTAAAAAATGGTGGGAAGTATAAGTTTTCTATTTTCCACCAAAGAAAAAGAAAAGGTATTAAATTTTGAAATTCTGGTAGTATATTCTCCCTATACATCTACGTATTTCTGTCAAATATATTCTGTGTTTTTAACCTTTACCCCAAGGGAACATGGAAGGGGGTCCAGGAAATAGGAATGATTGTTAATTTGAGATCTTTCGTAAGTATAGCTTTACAATGATTTTAGAGTAAATTACAAATTTTTATCCTTTTTCTGATTTGGGCCTCAGAAAATTCAAAATGGCTGCTTCATGTGTGATTTCACAACAATTTCCTGATTTCTTCAAAGTATAATATACTCAAATTGAAGGAATTTTAAAGTAGATCACATATATGGTATTGTTTTTCTGATTCTTGCCTCAGATTCATAATGGCTGCCTAAATTTGGTATACTTTAGAGATCTCTTCAAAGTATGGTTACATTATACTTAGATTTCAAATATTGCATCGTCTTTATGGTTTGTGCCTTCAAAACATATAAATGGTAACCCAAATGCTTAAATGGATGGAAATTCTGATGTATCCCAAATGTCTGTCTTTTGTTATCTGCAAAGCATGGGTAATATTACATTATATATAGATTCGTGAATGTTATGTTCATTGGGATTTGCAACTCAGTGGAGTTGCCATTTCTAGTTTCATACAATAATTGACATCAACAAGATAAATGATTTCAACAGCTTGAATCAGAAAAAACAATATGCTTGTGTAACATTGATAACAATTATTTTGATGCCTACAATGATGAACATGGCAGTTGTATCAAAGAAAACATTTTATTTCAAGAGCAAATAAACACATCTGAAGATTTCAAGAGCATGAATCACAATGGATGATTTTATCAGTACATGTTAGCCATTAGGCTCAGTGCTTGATTTCAAAGCTAGTGACCACCTATGATTACAATGATGATAAGGACATCGCAAGGACTTTCCAGATTTGTCTGTAGCATTCTGCTTTTATCTTTCTCTGGAATTTTATACATACTAAGCTCAGAAAGCAACAGAGGTAAGAATTGATCCATTTTATGTTTAATTTTGTTTTTTTTTGCAATATACAAAATTTTTGATGAGATTTAATTTGGTTTGATGCTTTTATCTGTTAATTCTGCCCATATAACACAGGAGATCACAAAATGTCAATTAGTCTGGGGTACAATTATCTTCAAGATTCTAAGTGAAATACTGAAATATTAAGCTACTCCACCTTTGCAAATAATAATTTTGCACTTCGTGAAGAATAAAATTGTACCACTGTGTATATTTGAAGTCTCTGCATTACAGGTAATGCTGCTGAGAAAGAGATCAACTGCAAGAGAAAGAAGACTTTTGGCAAAGATTTACCCTTGACGGCTCTTGCAAGTTTCCCCGGAAGTGGTAACACCTGGGCACGTCATCTCATTCAGGAATTAACAGGTTACAGATTATCCTCTGGTTTATATAGTTACCCTTTAGTTGCTATAGTTACCCTCTGGATGCTGTAGTAACTGCTATATATTGGTATATTTTCAAGAATGTTGAAAATGTTGGAATCATGAAGTATTTTTAATAGTGAATTAAGAGTGTACAAATTCAAATCAACTGGATGCAAAATGAGTACTTTGTATTACATATTCTCAATTTAGTATCATTCATATATTCGTGTTATATTTGTTGTTATAGGTATATATACTGGGAGTGTCTATAATGACAAGTTAATGGCAGTTGATGAATTCCCTGGCTCCCTAATCTACAACAGCTCAGTTATAGCTATCAAGACACATTTACCAGTGCTTCAAACACCTTCAGGCACAAGGTACAACCTTATGGTCCCATAAATCAAGTATATGTATACACGCTATGTACATGCTATTATGGTAGACCAAATAGAATGTGTAATTTATAGAATCAACTTTTAGATCTGGGTAGCATACTGACATGTCCATAAATCAAGTATATATGTACATTCAGTTTAGGTAGGCCTAATGGAATGAGTAGTTTCTAACAAGTAATTAACACATACATTTGAGGTAGCATACTGACATTTGAAGAATGTTTCATATATTTTCAATCCCCTCAAAGTCGCATGTCTCAGACATAAGTGTTATATATACGGTACATTATTTTGTAAATAAATAAGCCAAAGTTTGTGTCATTCAGCATTTCAGTTTTTCACTGGTTTATCTTAGCAGATTTTAGTTATGTATACTCTTTCCTTTAGAAAAGTCAAGTCATGTGATATTCAGTAAAGCAATCTTTGAGTGGTCCCAAGAGTGACATCAAATTATTCTTTGTTGCTTTTATGCTCTTTATGCTTTTATCTCTAGTTGATGAGTACCCATTATTACCCAATTTCAATGACACAGAATACTCTCATACTGGGCTGAGGTTACAATATTCAAACACACCTTTAAATTAGTAATTCAAAAATACTGTTATGTGTAGTTAGAAGGGAAAATTACCAGATAAACAATATATACATTTGCTTTATTGCTTTCAGGTATGATAAAGCAATTTTACTACTGAGGGAACCCTATGACACATTTCTTGCTGAGTTCAACAGAGCAAAGGGTGGCAAAAAAACAGGTCATGCAAAGAAAGAGGCGTTTACCAAATGGGATAAATTTGTCACCAAAAGCATAACAGAGTGGTCTTTCTTTGTGGACACATGGTTAAACTTCAAACCCATGCTCTACGTATTAAAATATGAACTATTAAAGTCAAATCTTAAGGTAAGAACAAATGTAGTTATACGAGAAGAAGGGTCCCTTATAGTCATACTTGAAAAAGTGCAACATTTTGAGGTAATTAATAAAAATCCAAGTCACTACTTTCGGTGTAATAATTTCATAATGATCATATGTTTTCTTATTCAGCACAAGTGTAACTGTTTTTAGGTTATTGAGATATTTCCGAGGAAAATGGTATACGGAAACATGATATTTTGAATAAACTGGGCCAAAAAATGATCCCTTATTTATGGCAAAATGTTAGCATTGGATTTGTCGCACAAAATGGCAAATTTTGATTTTAGACCAGTCAGAATAAAATGTTTCCCCATATTTAACTCATGAATTATATAATTTTATAATTAAAACCAATAAAATCCTATGTTAGCATTTCCCAAGGGAATATTTATGACAAATCCAGTGACTTAACTCTGGCTTTTAAAAGTGAAGAAGTTACAGTAAATATAGCGACTTGGAACATGTGTTATCTTGGCTATTATGCTTGAATCTACTTGTATATCAAAGAATTAGCATTAATCCTGCTGATGTCATAGTTCTATAATGTAATTAGTATTCTGTCATTTGGACTCTTAATTAATAAACTAGTACTTTTTAAAACTGATCCCTGTCCAAATTCATTCAACTTTTATCAAATATATGAAATTGAGTTTGTGAATGTGTTGCAGGAAGAGCTGCGGAAAGTAGCAGAATTCCTTGATGTGGACGTATCAACTCACAGTTTAAACTGTGTTGTCCAGAATGCTGAAGGAAATTACAAAAGACCAAAAAATAAAGATGATTTTAATCCACTGGATATGTTGACAGAAAATACATTAACAACATTAAGGAGTATAAAGTATAGAATTTATAGTCGAATCTCTGACACTGGTTTGAATGATCATTAATATTTATTTACCTATTCTATTATTTAGGGATTATGTAGGGTGAATCAAATAGTAAAGACAGTTCACAACAATAATTGCACTTAAATGTTCTACTTTGTATGCATGAAACTGAAACTGCTACAAAGTCATAGTTGACTTTCTAATACGCCATGAAGTATTTTATTCGGCATATGTCTAATGGAATCACATATGTTTATCTTTGTATCATGGCAAGCCATTTTGAACAATGGTCTACACGACCTGTAATAAATACTTTTAAGTGACATTATTATCACAGGAATATCATGTCTTGTAGGGGCATTCTCGGCCATGGGGCATTCCTGGACACTCCCTTGGTATCAGGTCAAAACCTATTTAACCAATTGTCTGTTAAATAATAGGACACTTAATGTATTTCTTGAATATTGAATTATTCTTTATTCAATAACATAGATGCGAGTAGGAAGTTACTTATTTCACCACCAGATGGCTCGTTCGGGTCAGATAACATGGCGGGTATAGTAGAAACTGATTGTAATGATGACAATAACATCAAAAGGATTTCATACATTTGCCTATTGCATTCTGCTTTTATCTTTCTCTGGAATTTTATACATACTAAGCTTAGAGATCAAAAGAGTTAAGAATTGATTCATTTTATGTTTAATTGATATCAGTGAAAATTACTCAACTTCTCATCTATATAGTCAAATTTCTGACAATGATTTGAATGATCATTAATATTTCTTTCATCAATTCTTTAGTTTATGGATTATGTAGGGTAATGAATTTATATTTATTTGTTCGGAACAAATCTACAAAACATTATGATAAATCAAATACTAACCTATATGGTAGTGAAAGAAAAAATGGAATTACATCTATTTCAGCTTCAGTTTTATTTACTTGTTATTCTGTTGGCAGCTATCATGTATTTTTTATGTTATTTTAAATGTTGGATATTATGATATCTAAAAGAAATACAATAAATAAAGGTTTTGTTTTTTAATTTGTTTGTTTTTCACCTCTCCCCTCCTAAGATTTGGCCTTTCAGTAGGATGTTGAACATATTATTGAATGGCCTAATATGGTATACAATTCACACTAATTTTAGGCACAGTTTACTAAATGGGATCTCTTATTTCAGTTCCGCCTTCTTCAAAATCAGGATATTAAAGAGGCAGCTGTAACACTTAAATCTCAAAACTTCAACAGATTGTTGAAAAAGGTCATCACTGCAAATAGTGTTTATGGTTATCTTCAGCCGTTATTGATATAAATGATTATGAAATAAATAAACTAGTTATCATGTTGCTTTGATAAACTTAATTCGCAAGAATTGACTTCCCTTCAAAGTTATATGCAAAATGAGGTACTATTAACCTTGTGACAAAATGAATGAGAATAGTAAAAAAAAAACTGTAACAACATCTTCACATGATTCTTCACAATCTTTGTGAAACAGAGGTTTTTACCTTGATATAATAACCCAGATGCCAGTAGGCACTATAGTTACCAGCTTAACCAACAGTTACACTACTTAATTTTATGTGCTTTTTAATTTACAGTATGTGTGGTTGTAAAATTAATGGCTTGACATAACATTCTTGTGATGTGACTTTTCTATAAATATGCATCTTAATGGGACCCATGACTGGCATTTCACTAATTTACTCTCGTGGGTTTTTCTTCACACCTGTTCCATTGATTTGCATGTAAATATTGCAGTTTCATTGCGTATAAGACAGATTAAGTAGGGTTGTCCCAGAGAACCTGATGATGGGTGATGGATGAAATTTTTCGTTTTGTCTAATTTTATGTTAAATTATATATAGTAGAAAGATATAAAATTTCCCAAAATATTTTATTCTGAGAACCTTTTTTGGCAAAGTTATGCCATCATTTAGAAATAGGGGTAAACTTCTTAATTTTACCCTGATTTCCAGGGATTTGGGCATTATTTTCACCCCAATCTTACAAACATACCCTATTTCACATGCTCTTTTTATATTTCAATTCATGTGCTTTTGCAAATTTCATTTTTTTTTTTTTTTTTTTTTATACATTATCAATTTATTTCATCATAATCATGTTTTACAAGAATGGCTTGCCAATCGCTTATAAAGCATTATAGGCTAAGCTAGAAAATACATAAATTTAATTACAAATGTAAATGCATGTAATATGGAAGAATAGCAGCAATTTGGATAAGAAATGGGAAATAGGACAGGCTGGGGTCATGTATCATAGTCTCAGTGAGGGAATGGTAGGCATAGTTAATACTTGCTTGGAGGGTCCCATAGAGAATTATGATTATGTTAAGAGTTCTCCAGTAAAAAATTGGCAACAAGAGCAAAAAGTTCATTATTTTGTGCCAGCGATAAATCGTCACTGCCATGTTTCAGAAAATCTATAAATTGGCTTTTGTTCCTTATAGCTAAAGGCTTGTAAGTCTCTACAAGTGCAAGAAAAGTGTTCCTATTTTGTGCTTTATTTGGACAATAAAAGAATAAATGTTTTGGAGTTTCAGGCACACCACAAGCGCAGTTTGGTGTTTCAATATAAGTAAAATTATGGCCATATAGCTGAGCTTTAGTGAGCAAGTCAACTCTGAATCTATTGAGAATTATTTCTTGATTTCTTTTTAACTTTAATTTAGTAGTTGGTAAAAAGGAGGGCTTAGGGATTTTAATTTTTTGTAAGTTATTGAAGCTGGTAATTGTTTTGCTTTCTCGAATATCTTCATCTTTTTTTATTATTTATAAAACCTTAAATATTAAGGAAACAAAAAAGGAATAATAATTTGACATATATCTTGTATTTTTTTCTCCACGTTAGTATGACATACATACCCCTACCTCATATATTGGTGATTTTTGTCTATTTTTACAAAAAAATGATATTTACACATTCTTTCATAAAATCTCAAGTAGAGCTATACATCATTTAGTTTATGGCTTGTGAGAATGGGTATATGGTGGGCTTCAAAAGAAGCAAAGAAAATAAGTGGAACTCTTGAGTGTTTTTCTGCCACAGATGAACGAAAATCGAGAAAAAATAGTAAAATTTACCAGAAATTATGGTAGAATGCCATTTACATATGAATATTAATAGGGAGATATGAGTATGCAAACTTGTATTTCTTTATTACATTTTCAAACTTATTGATGAACTTTCCAACTATTTCAATAAAATGATATAAAATCTTGAAGATATAAAAGTTCTCCAGCTATTAGGAGTATCTGGCAACACTGCTGGTTGCCATAGCAACCAGCTAACTATAAACAGCGTTAACTAATTTTTTACTTTTCCTGAACAGTTTTCATACAAATCTTTTATAATGATCAATGTGGATGAGATATGACTTACTGTACAATGTTAATGCACACAAAAGTCTACTGATTGAATAGATAACCATAGCATTCAACCCTATCATCGGGCAAAATAGTAAAATTTACCAGAAACTATGGTAGAATGCCATTTAAATATGAATATTAATAAGGAGGTATTAGTATGCAGACTTGTATTTCTGTGTTATATTTTCAAACTTATTGATGAACTATCCAACTTATTCATAAAATTATATATAAATGTTAAGGTATAAAAGTTCTACAGCTAACAGGAATATCTGACAACACTCTTAGTTGCCATAGCAACCAGCTGACTATAAACAGCATTGGCTAATTGTTTACTTTTCTTAAACAGGAAAAATCATTTCACATACAAATCCTTTATAAATATCAATGTGGATATGATTTACCAATACTGTACAATGTTAAAGCACACATATGTCTATTGATTGAATAAATAGCTATAGCAACTCAGTAGCATAGCAACTATATCATCAATTATCTAAGCTGTATTTTGGCATATTTCTACACAATTTGAAAATCACAATTTCCCCCTTATTAAATTTCCATTATTCTATGAATCCTCAATCTGAATGTCAACTTACATGTAGATAACTCTAGACCCCCTTAAGCTTGTATCAAGAATCACGATGTAATAGAGGTTAAGGTGCAGCATGTTGTGGACCAAGATGACAAAGCTTTAGGTGTACTTAGTGAAAATCACGAAATTTAATAGTCGCAAAATTCTTTCAATGATTAGCTATAGTCCATCTATCCACATGTTCATGTATATGTAATCTTGTTATGACACTTATATGCCAATGCCCTGGTCCTGTATATCCAACTTAGATGGAACTGGATGTTTTAACCTGAGGACTATTGCACATCTTACATTTCTCCCAATTTAATGTTAATGTTCAAAGTTAACATCATGTGTTTCAGGAAATGGAAATTGCTGCCAAGAGATCAAAACAAAGTGTGGATTGAAGTCTGAGACAAGAGAAATACAGTCAATGATTGGAGCCAAACAGTGGGGATTCAGGCCTGTGGCCAGGATTTGCCAAGTGGGTACAGTCAATGTAATAAGGACTGGAGCCAGATAGTGGGGATTCGGGTCCGTGGCCAGGATTTACCAAGTGGGTACAGACAATGTAATAAGGACTGGAGCCAGACAGTGGGGATTCAGGCCCCTGGCCAGGATTTGCCAAGGGGGTTCACTTTTTATTAAAAAATAACAGGGGGTTCAAGTTTCACTACTTTGGCACATAAAAGGGTCAAAATCACTTGGAAAGTGCTCAGAATGGTGAAAAACGGCATGATTTTGAAGTAAATTTTGGCCATTTGAACTTATTGTCTGGACTGTTGAAGTAAAGCTAAAGATTCAAGAGGTACAACAGTAAAGACGGGTGGTGATAATTATAAACAAACTAAGAGGATTAAAAATGTCAATGAGAATAAAGGATACACAAAAGGACTTATGATGAAAATGTAATGTGATTAAAAGGGTACATAAAAACCTTTCAGCTGCCATATTTATATGTTGCAACACATTAATTATGTTGATGGAATAAAGTAAACTTCATGGTTTATCAGTAATATGGATTTTTTCCACCTATAAATGAGGCATGTGGTTTCAAAGTTTAAACAATGCAAAATGTGCTAGGGATGATTGTTGGGGGCATATCTATTAAACCATAATATTATTATCAACATCATTATGGCAATGCACAACTACATTGTTAACCCTCAATTGTTTTTTCTATCAAATTTTGAACTTGCTTGCTTATGCTATGAGAATATGATATTGTTTCTTATGTGTAAGACATTTATTTCAGGGGAAAAAATCCTGTACCATTCTATATTAGAAATTTAAAAGCATGAGGTCAATCATGCTGCATGTACTGGTTTTGGATTCT